GCCCAGTGTTAAAATATTCTTATCTTATGAAATCAGGGCGCGCTGAGTCACCGGAATCTAGGTGGGGCCGGCGACCGCGCCCCCGCGCCCGGCCCGAGCGTCCGTCCCGCGGGAGCCGCCTCCCCGCGCCCTCGGCCCTTTTGTCCCGGCGCCCGCGCTCCTCGGCCACTCTCTGCTCCGCGTCGCCACCGTCGAGATGCTGCGCTGCGGCCTGGCCTGCGAGCGCTGCAGGTGGATCCTGCCCCTGCTCCTGCTCAGCGCCATCGCCTTCGACATCATCGCGCTGTCCGGCCGCGGCTGGCTCCAGTCGAGCACCCACTTGCAGACGGCCTCGCTCTGGTGGAAATGCCCCAGCGAGGGCGGCGGCACCGGGTCCCCCGAGCAGGGCTGCATCAGCCTCATGCAGTTCGGTGAGTGGCCGCCCGCGCCCGGGGGCCAGGCCTCTGGGCAGGGACAGGCTGGGCCGGCCTGAGAGAGAGAAACAGAGACAGAGAGAGAGAGAGAGAGAGAGAGAGAGAGAGACGCTCAGAGGCTCCGGCTCAAAATTGGAAGGACGCGGGCCCCGATCAGACAGTATTTTCATAGGATTTGTCTCTCAAATGCGAGGTGTTGTCGTCCACTGAGCGGAAAAGGTTAAGAGGAGTATATTCGATTTTTTTTAAATGGAGATCAAAATGTCTTCCCCTTCCTTTCTCTCCTCCTCCTCCTCCCCTGGTTGTCCTGGTGAGTCAAAGATCATTATAATGGGGGTGCCTTCCCTAGTATGTAGGTTTCCGTGAACAGTAACATGGGATGGAAGCCTTTAACAAGTCCCTTCCGTTGAAGTGCCGGCAGTTAGGCTCCATTACATACTTTTACTACTTCACACCTCAGGCTAGTTCTTGCTAGATGTTAGCTTTCGGTTTATGTGGGACATTACGGTTTCAATATATAAGGTAGGCTTTTTGATATAGCTATGTGTGTGTGTGTATAAGGTATATATCTATTTTACATATACACAACACACATGTGTATATCTATTTACCTTAATCCGCTGTGAAATCTAAAACCAAGCACATCTCCTACTACATAAAATGAAACCGGCACTGGAGACCTTGAAGGTAGCGACTCTGTTTTTCCCACAGGGAGGTCATCTCACACTAAAGGGACATATTCTTGTCTGCACAGGCATTTTCTTCCCCATGGGATATCCCACTTAGAGGTGGGGTGGAGACCGCTTGCTTTCGTTTTGCCCTGATCCACAATGTGTCTGGCGGGAGGAGGGTCTGGTTAGAAGCAGAATCAAAAGCTTGAGAGCCACATGTTCCCGACCAGGGCTTTCCCACCTGGGTGCACCGGATTCCACAGAGACAGAACTTAGGAACCCTGCTGGTGAAAGCGGTTCCACGTTATCCGCTCTCCGAGAAGCTGGGGTTCCAGTTGTTTCTAGGGTGCATGCCAGCCGGGAAGCCCTTTGGGAGCAGTTCTGTTTTGTCACTTGGGGTTGCTGAGATCCAAAGTGTATGTACAGCAAACCGAGAAAGAAGGCTGCCGCTGCCTTATTGCCCTCTCTGCTGTGATCAGTGGCTTGATTCTTCCCCACAACCTCACCCAGAGTTAAACCCACTTTATTTGTGTGTTTGGGGCCCTGTTCCAGGCGCTTGGCCTCTTATCTTATCTGCTGTGGACTTGTTTGGAAGTGTCCTGATGCAACTTCCCTCAGAATGCAGCCTGGCAGTGCTGGGGCCAGGTCCTAAAATGCAAACACAGCACGGAAGCCTGCTTTCCTAAATATTTGTGTTTCTCCTTTCCCCTAAAGCACAGTAAAACCATGCCTGCCAGGGGTCGGGCCATTCCCAGTCTGCTCAGTATTCAGGCTACTTACTGCAGACCAGAGGAGTGCAGCTGGCCTGCGGGAGTGCTGGCGACCAGCACCCGTGCGGGGGCAGGATCTGGCCTGTGTGACTCTAGTCTCTTGTGAAACAATGCCGTGTTTTACTTTCTGGAACACAGGGTGAGCTCACCTTGCTAGGGTGTGGTTGGTCCCACCCCAGATGCACTGTGGTGCTTTGTGTGTAGACGAGAGTAAGCAGGTTTGGTTCCTTCCTTTGTTAACTTATTGAATACCATGAAAATCAAAGGCATTCCTTTTAAAATTTTAAGGTAGAAGATTACTGATCTAAGGTACAGTTTATTTTTGAGTTGATATGAAATATAGTGTGTATATATAGATATCCTATGTAGTTTTTGAAAAGTTCAGTTTGATTATCTGGTCAAATCTTGACACATCTCTCACTATCTGGGTCACTACTTGCAGCAGACAAGAGGGATTCTCCTAAGTGGATAGTGGTTTTAACATCTCACTTGGAGAATTCATTTCCTTTACAAAGATCAAAAAAGGACTGTTGATATTGGGTTGGAAGAAGCTCTTGATCAAGACCTTGAATCAATCCATGAGTCCAGTATTTGCTCTCAGGAGAAGCCCATGGGAGAAGACAGTTGATACTATAGGCAAAGAGAAATTCAAATACTAATTCTACTGGGGCCACAGCCCCTGTCGTGGAGCACGCTTCCAGTTTTGGTTTGTTTTGTTTCAAACAGTTTTATTGGTATTGAAGTCACATATCATACAATTCAATAGTTCAGTCATCTACTTTTCAGAACAACGGCATCAGGAGGGTATTTTCCGCATTGGCTAATGCAGATTTCAAATCCCGGCAAGCTCCTTCTTGTCTGGGTGGAGAAGGAAGCAGAGCCTGTGAGCCTCTCCCCTGAGGTCTGGATAAAAGGGGAGAGTAGCTGCGCTTGGGGGGAAGAGCGTTGGGCTTGCATCTGAGCTCAAAAGTGCAGGGTCTCACTTTCTCCCAAGACACTTTGGAACACCGTCACAGGCCATTAGTCTTACTTCCACTAAATCCGCTGGGACACAGGACAAGTCCAAGCATCTGAGGAGCAGTGATATTCAGCTCTTGTACCCTGTGGCTCTCAAAAGTACAGCGTTAAACCCCAAACTCACTGCCATCCCTGTGGGTTCCTAGCGACCTTGGAGGACAGCAGGGTTTCTCCTGTGGGTTTCCGAGGCGATAGCTCTTTGGGTGAGTGGAAAGCTCTGTCTCCCTCCTGCAAAAGTCCTGTACATGAGGGGTAATAAGTATGATGCCAAGAGGTTCACATTAGCTCCATTCAATTCAAAGGATTTCATTTTTAAATTATGCTGAGCTGATTGTTTCTGCAGGGAGGGGCCCAGTGTTAAAATATTCTTATCTTATGAAATCAGGCCTTAGGAGGTAGATGACTTTTTATATATATATATATATATACACCTATGGGTGTGTGTTAATGGCCTTACAGAGCAAAAGGAAAAGTGGGCCACTGTTCATAATTAAGGCAAGTATTGATCTATCAAATAGGGCATCCAGAAACGAATGATCTAGCCCAGCCCCTTCCACGTTTGCGGAATGCAGCCCTGCTCCCCCCAGGGAGCCTCCGCCCTCTTCTATTGATTACCTTTCTCTTCTCCCTGCCAGCAGATACAGGCGCCTTGTCTAGAATGACAAGGATCAGAGTGCACTCATTTCCATGATTGAGGGGCTTCCTTTATTCAACAGCTCAATTCTATTCCCTGCACGATGCTGTTTGCTTAGACGTACTTCTCTTCTACCAACTGGACCGAAGTGGCTTTCCTGTAATGTCTATGCCCAAGCCTTCTCCTCCCAATTGACAAACTTTCACCTCTTTGAGGGTAGATCCCCAGCTCAATGCTAGTTATCTCGTCTCCAGGGGAAAATTCTGTTTTCCTAACTTCTTACATGAGCTATTTCACCACCAATTCAACAAAATGCTTTCAAAGACCACTAGGAAGTAAAGTAATGCAGCTTGGTGAAGACACTCTGAATTGTGTATGTGATTATGTTGAAAGCAGATGTGTTACCTCTATTTCTGAACACACACACACACACACACACACACACACACGCAGCAAATGATTATCATCTGGCTCTGGTTCAGGGGGAAAGAATCTCACACCAGCTGCGGAATGCTCTCCTGTTTGACCCTGCTGTTTCTGGTGAGATCATCTTCTTTACTGCCTTCCAGAAGGTATGCAGAGTGGCCTCTTCTCCTGGAGAGATTTTTGAGGGCTGTAAGGGGTGGACCTCTAGGATTTTGCTACTCAGAGTGTCGTAGAGTAGCACTATTTGGGAGCTATTGAACATATCGAGTCCATTATGACTCATAGCGACCCTATAGGACAAAGTAGAACTGCCCCCGTGGGTTTCTGAGACTGTAACTCTTTACGGGAGTAGAGAGCCACACATCTTTCTCCTTCTGAGTGGCTGGTGGTTTTGATATGCTGACCTTGCAGTTAGCAGTCCAACGCATAACCCACTATGCTACCATGGCTCGAAGGTTCATTTTAACATGATCCCCATGTGATCTTGTAGGCACTTTTGAGAAGCGCTGATCTAGATTCCTCTAGTTCAGTGGTTCTCAACCTGTGGGTCATGACCTCTTTGGGGGTCGAACGACCCTTTCACAGGGGTCACCCGACTCATAACAGTAGCAAAATTATAGTTATGAAGTAGCAACGAAAATAATTTTATGGTTGGGGGGTTCACCACAACATGAGGAACTGTATTAAAGGGTCACGGCATGAGGAAGGTTGAGAACCACTGCTTTACTTGCTAATTGAATACAACTAGAGGAATATAATAAGCAATCTTTTCTTTTTTAATACATGACATATCCATGCTGATAGTTATTTATACATAGCATTTAATTTTTTAATTAGGGTTTTATATCATATAAAAAACCCTATAGTGTACCCTATGGACCGTAGGAGCCAGGATGGCTAGACTTCATCTCACGTAGATTAACCCTGTTGTCAGTAGAGACCAGTCCCTGGAAAATGACCTATTGCTTGGTAAAGTAGAGGGTCAGAGAAAAAGAGGAAGATCTTCAATGAGGTGGATTCACACAGTGGCTTCTACACTGGGTTCAAACACATAAATAATTGTGAGGATGGCGCGGGACCAGACAGGGTTCGGTTCTGTTATACGTCGGACTGCTATGAGTTGCAACCAACCCGCTGTCACCTACCAACAACAAAACAATAGGAAGACATCTGACAAAATCTTGAATTCAGTAAACGAGACCTTCGGTTTGGTTAACAGATGACTCCCTTGCTCTGGACAGGGCCCACCAGGACACCGAGGAAGGGCTGAGACCCGAGACTTTTGACTTGTGGTACAGTATGAACCTACTGACGACTGTAGCATGTCCATTAAAAGGACTCCATTTAGGGGGGACAATTAGTGATAGTTTCCAAAACATTACAGTAATAGTAGCAATATGTGCAATGATTTATTCACCATAAAAGGAGCTTTAGTGGCACTGTGGGTCAGGCCAGGGGCTGCTAACTGCTAGGTTGGTGGTTCAAATCCACCCACTGTTCTGAGGGAGAAAGACAAGGCTGTCTGTGTCTATAAAAATCTGCAGTCTCAGAAACCCCCCTCAGGGTCACTCAGTCAGGATGGACGTGATGGCAATGGGTTTCGTTTGGTTTTAGGACTCACCTTAAAATATAGTTTTCCCCTCCTTTTGCCAGCTTTAGTCTGAGTTTCTAGTTTGATATTTGAAGTATTCATTTTCGCCTTTCTTGCTGTTAGCAATTGACTTTGCTGTCTTCTCACATTTCCCTGTTTTCCTCTGTCTTATTGGAAATGGAAGTTGTAACTCTCTCTCACTTCCTAGGAAAACCTCAGAATTCCATAGTGACCATCAAATGCTTTCCAGGTTCTTGACTTGATGCTGAATCTTCAAAAGCGATAGTGAAGGTTGATAAGCCAATCTTCCTCTAAATGGATCATTAGTTAGTCAATCTTATTTAAAGGTGATCTTCATAATGTTTCCGATTGATTTGATCATGAGTTTCTCCAAGTGGTACTTAGCAGGTAAACTTAGGCCACACAAGATGATACATGTGCAGAATTTCAAATCGATCTTTCTATCACGAAACAAAACCCAACAACAACCTCCCTCATATTCCTACAAAGAAAGACAGCCTCCTTTTACCTGGATGCTTTTATGGTGTCATCTGATACCACACACAGCACACACACACACACACACACACACACACACACAAAGAAGGGGAGAAACTTTAGTGTGAAAAACTATCCTGAGACACAGTCTACCTTTGGTAAGGAACTGAGGACCACCTGCTGAATCAATACGTGATAGCTTTAGGCCAAATAGTAAAAGTCGGTGCTTTTCATGAGGGTTGATAAAGATGTAATTTAGACCATGGTATACCAGAAAAATATAAGTAGCTCCCCAAAGCGTGGATCCAATTTGTTGATGGTAGGCTCTTTCAAAAAGTTAAAGACCCAAGGGTCTTAGAGTACACACTTGTCTCAGCTTTTCTAAGCAAGCTGGAGAATAGGCTCGCCCGGCCTGACCATCGGTTTCTTTCCCAGACAGAATATGGGGCGCAGCTCATCATTTCAAAACACAATCGTTGCGTGAGAATGTTGGCTGCCTGGCTTGCAGAGAAGCCCCAGCACCTCTGAAGCCAGGCCAAGATTTCTGCCCTCAGGGAGCTAGGTGACTCAGGGTGGGTGCTGCTGAGCACCCAGGAACAGGTTTTACACGTTCCTTCTACTTCCCAGACAGCCTTTCTCAGGACAGAATGTCGCTTAGTTTTCAATTTTCCCTTGGTTTAGACTCAGCATTTTAAACAAACAAGACATCATTAACCAACTCGATTTAAGTTACATAATGAAACTTAAAAAAAAAAAAAAAAGGCATCTGCCTGTATGTTTATGTTCAACCACCGTTTCTAGGTTCGATGGACTGCCTTCCCTTTTTATACCACCCCTTCGAGTGTGCAAACACGGAGCATCATGACGCTTCAACTAGACTGTGAGAGGCAGTAGTCATGACCATGCCTCTCTCCAGTAAACCTTAAGTGATTGATCTGACTTTAACAACAGCATCATACGTGGATCATCGAACTGCATTTTCTCAATCTGTGACTGTCAATGTCGGGTTGTTGAAATACGTTTTGTGTGAGGATGGTTTCCTGCTTTTAGGAGAAACTCATATTTGAGTGTGTGCAGTTTACCCTCATGGTATTCATGTGCAGGCCATGTTGCTTTTTGTTGCCGTTTGTGAATTCAGTTTAAAAGCAAATTCTTTAAAAGTTCCAGCTTAATTGAATTTATAGCAGGTGCCATAAAACTTTATAGAAATAACACTATTATGGCAGTGGGTCACGCACGAAAGACATGTGTGCGTCATATTTTGTTTTGTTTTATGAGGCGATTAATCATTCATCTTGGTTATTCTCAAACTTTAGGATGGATGTTAAGAAATGCCAGTCAAATGCTGGTTCTTGGGCCCTGCCTCTTGGTACCTAATTCAGTAGGTCTGGAAGGAGGCCCAGGAATCTGCATGTCAGTAGCCACCCCTGGTGAGGTGGATGGAGTGGTCTATGGGGTCTCCTTGAGGAACTGATGCTCTTCCCGAAGCATGGGCCCTCTTCTCCTGACACCGACCTTCCTGGAAGGCCTAGGCAACAGTGAGAACAGAGGGCCATGCTTTGGCTTCATTCGTTTTGATTTTAAGATACACATTTCTAACTGACCTTGCCTCTAAAGTTTCTCATGGAGCTGACAGGAAGAACAAGACGAGTTGGAGGAAAGAACGAAGCGCTGTACATGTGAAGCTGGGCCCGTTTTTGGTACCATCTAGGGGCAGTTATGCGAACACAAGGGATTTCTGAGGCATTTAAACATTCCTTAGCCATTATATCCTGTTTATGGCACTGGGTCTTCATGGATCCAGAGGAAGGTCCGGCAGGATTGTGGCAGCTGGAGAAGAGAACCAGGCAAAGCTTCCCCGAGGCTGGGCTATCACAGATATATGGATGCAAAAACTCTGGGTAGGAGTGAGGGGCAGTCTCCAAGGGCCGGAGCAGAACTTTGTGAGTGCAGACCAAAATGAAAATGGGAGGTGCAGGGGGATATGGGGGCGCTTTCTGAATTGAGGGCTGCAGCATTCATAGCATGGTTACTTTTCCCACATCTTTTTTCCTTACAATAACCTTGGAGGAAGGTGTTTGTAGCCCTGGCCAACAGATTAGGAGACTGACATGCAGCTAGTAGGTGGCACCGGTGAGATGTAAACTGAGGTCCACCTGCCCGCAAAACTCATGGTGTCTGTTATCCCAAACCCATGTTTTGCTTTTTGAGCTGGAATTAGAATAGTAATAATTTTAAAAACCTGTTGCTACTGAGTTGATACCAACTGGTGGCAACCCACTGCGTTTCAGGGTGGAACTGCCCCCACTACGCTCTCAAAGACTCCCATCCTACGGTGGCCGGGCCTTCCACACTGGGTGGATTGGAATTGCCACCTCTTTGGCTGCCAGCCAAGCGCAGAGCACCCACAGACCTGATCTAGAAATGGGGATCAATGCTGTCAGCAGTGCTGTGTCACAGAACCAAAACCAGGGCGAAGGTGCCCCTGACTCTTCTTTTCAAGTTCAGGGAGGAGTAATCGCTTGCGGTTACTTAACCTGTTCCATATTCTGCCTTCAGACAGGCTGAATGTCTGACCCACTTACTAGCTGTGTGATATTGAGCAAGTGATTTGAGCTCTGAAAGCCATAGGATAGCATCGGGGCTTTTTGGTTTGTTTGTTTCGTCTTGTAAACAGAGATTATACTACTATGTAGCGTAGAGCAGTATTGTGAAGGTGAGTTGATGCATGTGAAGTTCTTAGCCCAGGGCTCGGCACATAGAAATTACTCCATAAATGTTAGTTATTAGTTCTAGAATGAAGTTATGTTCGAGGAGGTTTTAAAAAGTTAGGGCAGATTGAAAGATGAGAATCATGGCTTGAAATTGCCAGAGTGGGTATCATGCATTTCCCTGCACAGGACCAGAGGTGGCTTTCCAGGTCTCCAAACCGGGGGTGCAGTTTCCACCTCATTCTGATTCTTTTAGGGGCCAAGATCGGTGACTACGAAAAAAGGCCAACACTTGGAAAGCTTATTTGCCATAAACATGTGCTTTTTGTAAATAAAACACCATCTTCTCCACTACTAAATGGTCTTATCCAGCAGCTCTGCCTAGTAGTAAATTGAGGGTGGTTCTTGCCTGGAACCTATCACACTATGGGTTACTTATGTTCATTCGAGCAAGCAAGGTCGGATCACATATACACCCGCAGCCCTATAGAGTGGTTTGTTTGTTGCTGGTCTGTTTTTGTTTTTCAAAGGGAACACCACTGTCCTTTTATTATGTTCCCCAAATAGGTTTAAAGCACCTTACCCCCCAGAGAGAAGCAGTGGGGTTCCTGGGTGCATCCCAATCCGCTCAGCACCTCGTCTTGTTCCTCTTCCTCCATCTCCCCCTCCACCTGGCTGCCCTGTGGCCAGTCACTGATAACCCAGGGCAGTGCCTGTGGCTGTTCTTTTGCACCTGCCCGGGGCACTGGCGGTGTTGGCTGGGCTGGGCTGGGCTGTTTGAGGACACCTGGCTCAGGGTGGTGGTGCCAGTAGCAGCAGCTGTACATGAGCAGGAAGCAGCCACGCCAACAGGGTGGTAGCAGCCAGAGCTGTCATAGACAGCCCCTGCTCCCAACCCTGCACCCGGCTCTCCTTCCCAATTGCCCATGTCTGTGTACCCTCCCCCCTGCTCCCAGGTCCTGGCACCTTCAAAGTCCTGATCTGGTTGTTAGTGCAGCTTTGCCTTCTCTCCCCCACCCTGAGCCCCTCCCTGACCCACATGCACAGCAAGGCTGTCCTCCTGGATCCATTGGTTTCCACTGATGAGCTTCCATGGGTTTTCCTATCATAGTTTCTTCGAGGATTAAACTATATAGTGCATGGGGTCTTCCTGTATATAACACGGTATTGACACAATGTCCACATCATATAATGTCCAATTTCCCAGAATGCCTTGTAGACATTAAGCACCACCTACCAGTCCTAAGATGAAGCTGAGATCCATCCGGACTGATTTTGCGCTAGTTCCGAAAGAGGGCTGTGTCCCTGGGGTGGTTCTTTTGTTCACTCATGTCCTGTTGTGTTCTGGAACTGGGGCGAACCCTTGAAACAGACCCTGACACCTTCAATAAAGATAAGAGACATTTGCCCCCAGACTGAAGGGACAAAAGCATCACTATTGGTGTGTCAATATCCGGTATGAATAGTCTACTCTTCCCTGAACACGCAGATGTGCATGCATTATCCAGAGACAAATTGGCCCAAATGGAATGAGTCGAAAGAAGTGGGTGGGTGGGTGGGTGGGTGGGAGGGAGGAGCTGTGCACTCTTTGTTCAGTCATGCTTTGTGTTTGGCATCTCTGGCTCAGTCGTTGCCATTTCTGTTTCCTGGTAGCATGGGGAAGAGCCGCGGCTGCCATGCTCTTCTGCGGTTTCATCATCCTGGTCATCTGCTTCATCCTCTCCTTCTTTGCCCTCTGTGGACCCCAAATGCTCATCTTCCTGAGAGTGATTGGAGGACTCCTGGCCCTGGCTGGTAAGACTATGTCCGAGTTTTCCATTCCTGCCTTCAGCGGGCGTCCACGCAGTGGTTTTCAATCACACAAGAAGAGCCACGTCAACTCTACAGTCTGCCGTCAGAGAACGTGCCATCAGGGAGAGAGAGCGAGTCACCTGGGAGAGATGTACTTGAAGATCCAGGCGCTTTGCCTCCCATGCCGCTGACAACATTATATCCTCCGGCCGAAGGAGGAAGGCTCTGGATACTCCGCTCTTGGGTGGTCCCATGTCCAGAGACACCCACCCTGCGGGACTGGACCATGTCGTCCTTAGAGTACAGCACTGTCCATAGTGGTCCACAGTGCGGGTCTCTTGGGAGGTCATTCAGTTAGCAGACGTGTGCTTAACCACGATGCCACCCAGGCCCTTCATTGGTTCATAGTATTCAATGAATCTCTGTTGGTTAGGATTCCCCAAACTCCCTTCGTGAGCATTGTTTAAACCAAAATCAAAACCAAGCCATGGACCTTTGGGTCAGCAGTCGAGCCACCATCAGGGCTCCTTTAAACCCACGTAAACAGAGTTAAAGACACCATTGTTTCGGTGGCTTCAAAGAAACCCTGATGGTATAAGAGTTAAGCACTAGCCTGCTAAGATAAAGATTGGCGGTTCAAGCCCACCAGTAGCTTCAGTGGAGAAAAGGCCTGCTGGTCTGTCCCAGGAGACCCTACAAAGCAGACCTTCCCTGTATGTAGGGTCGCCATGAGCTGGGATTGATTCTACGATGCACACAACATCAGATGGCTTTAATACCAATCAAAGGCCAAAACAATTGTGGAAGAGGGAGTTCATTTGTTGTCACCAGGCATTCATTCATTCACTCACACTTTGGGATTTTCTTCCCCTTTAGCGGTGTTCCAGATCATCTCGCTGGTCATTTACCCAGTGAAGTACACGCAGGAGTTCGATCTTCACAGCAACATCGGCGTCACCTTCATCTATAACTGGGCCTACGGCTTTGGCTGGGCAGCCACGATCATCCTCATCGGCTGTGCCTTCTTCTTCTGCTGCCTCCCCAACTATGAGGATGACCTGCTGGGTAACGCCAAGCCCAGATACTTCTACTCCTCCGCCTAACGCGGGCCAGCGCAGCGGGAAACGCTCTGCGCAGACGCAGTCCAGAGAGAGCAACTCCGTGCCCCAGATGAATTCGAACCGACGTTTGGCAGCGAGCACGTGCTCATCTTATGAAACGAGTCAAAACTATGCTAAAGTAGAAAATATGTCCTAAATGGTGTCAGCGTTCCATAGGCATCTTTTATACCTTGGGGTTTTTTTTAATGGAGTTAAACAAGACTTCCTCTTTTTCGCTCATTTCCTACCATTTACCAACGTTGCCTAATATCTGTCACTGCCTAATATTGTGTTTGTAAAAGAAAGTGAATATGAAAATGTACTTTTTTAAATGGTTAGAATGATAAGGCTTCCAGGTTGTCAGTAACCTGATTAAGTTACTGTGTTTCTCAGAGTGAACAGAGTGGGCCTATTAAGGTCTAAAGAGAAGAGAGAGAGATTAAAGTTGTTAGTGGCCAAATGTTCTAAAAGAAATGGGAGAAATAAAT